TTTTTTTTTTTTGGTTTTTTTGAGACAGGGTCTCACTATGTAGTGAAACTGACCTGGAACTCACTATGTAGCTCAGGCTGGTCTCAAACTCACAGGGATCCTCCTGCCTCAGCCTCCCGAATGCTGGGATTACAGACATGCGCTACCACGCCCAGCTTGGGAGCCGACTTTGAAAGCTGAGCCCCAGGTTTGCAGATGGAGTAGAGCTTCTCGCAAGTGTTTGCTGAGGGCCTCTGTCGGCTGCATCCTGAGAACGGAGGCCGGACTGGGATCTGTGAAGTGCTGGGGCTGCCTGAGGACCGGTCTGTGTGTCGGGCTCCTCGTGCTCCTCAGATCTTCCCGGAGCTGCAGGGCCGGGCGCGTAGCCTGGGTTGTGGCTTCCGTGAACGTGGCAGATGTTTGAAGCTCAGTGAGTGGAACTCAGGTGGGAGGGCTTGGGGGTAGAGCTGGGCGCTGGGAGCTCGGTGAATTGTGGGTGTCAGGACGGGGCATGGAGGTGCCACGGTGCCGCTCCCCAGGGGCAGCACAGCTGGCCTGGAGCAGAGTTAGTCTGTGAACTGTGACCTGTCAGCTTCCGGTGCCAGCTTCCGGTGCCAGCTTCCGTGCCATGTCAGGCATGTGTGCGTGCCACCCGACCTGGGCTGGCCCTGGCTCCTGGCGCGCGGCTTTTAAACTGGGCAGTAGCGAACTGTGGTCCTTGTACTACATTTGGCCCTCAATTTATTTTTGTAAATAAAGCTTTACGGAAACACAGCCATGGCTGCCTGTTCACGCATTGTCTGTGTCTTCTTGACAAGACATTGGCAGGGTCCAGTGATGACAGAGAGTATACAACCTGCACAGCCGAAGGAAACTACCCACTCTGACCTTTTCTGTCTTTTCTTTGGCGGGGCTGAGGGTTGAACCTGGGGCCTCACATGCGCTAGGTCAGTGTTTCTCCGTTGAACTATGCACCCGCCAGCTCCCTGGCCCTTTCAAAGACAAAGCCTGTTTTGCGTGGCCAGGCAGGGCATACGGCCCGCTCTGCAAATGTGTTTCCAGTGCTTTCACTGTGCTCAGGAACAAGGGAGCCTTTCTAAGGCCAAAAAAACTGTCCAGTTCCTCCTAATGGGGAGAATTGCGAATTTGGTGTCTTCTGGTTACAAAAGGAAAACATATCGATCCAAGTCGCCATCATTTCAGTGATGCTTTTGAACGTGGGCTCGGTAATTACAGTAGCATTTATGTAACATTTTTAAAAATAGTAGTACATGTGTGTGCAGGGCTGTTTTTACTCTGCAGGATGGCTGCTCAGAGGACCCGCAGGGCTGGTGCTGGAGGATCATGCTGCTTGGTTATTTTCTGGTTATTTTCTACTCCAAGTGACTCTGATCAGCAGGTCTCTTTTATGACCTTGTGCCTTTTCCTCACTGAATTGCTTTGAAGATGAACATAGCCTTCTCTGTGTTTATCTGCGACACCTAAGTCTATGATATTTTAAATTTCCTGAGCTGAAAATTTGGGTGTGCTCACAGAGCTGTGTGCCAAGTAAGAAAGTGTGTCACTGCTGGAGTCTGGAGTCTTTGTCCAAGGGACAAAGGTGGGGATTTACTGATCCCTGGAGCTGGGAAGTTCACAGGGGACTGGCATCAGGTACAGCTGGATCCAGGGGTTTAATAGTCTCATCAGAACCTTTGCCCTCCAGTGTGTCCTCTTGCTTCTCTCCGGTGTCAGCGCCGTCTTCAGGCAGGCTCGCCTCTGCCTTGAGGAGCTGCCCGTCAGCCCCAGCATCTCCTCTGGAGTTGGATGTCTCTCTCCCACTTGTCCCCAAGAGCCCCACAGGGTTGTAGGTTGATGGCTGTGACCCGGCTGGAATTTACATGTGGCCAGCTGTTCGGAGACCAGGAACTCATCACTGGGACCCGAAATGGTATGGGCAGTATTTCCCAAGGCGAGTCTGGGTCCTCCTGCCGGAAGACAGCAGTGATGACCAGAACCACCGGGTGGGGTGGGACTCAGGCTCAAGAGTGCCTGCCCTCACCCTGCTCCTGGGGCTGCCCTGGGGGTGCCGCTGCCTTGGAGTTGCTGTGTCGTGTTGTGACCTCACTCCCAGGATCCCACAGCGTCTCTGGCTGCTTTGGTACCACCTGGAATATTTGGACCATCATCTGCTGATATCTAAACAATACCTGCTCTTTTCACTGCAGCCCTCTTCTGGGAATCTGTGCCTCATGAGCACAAAAGGGCTGCTGGGGGCTGGTGTGTGATCCCACCTTAGAGGTGGCGTCTGGGGGCTGTACAGGCTTTGGGCTCTTTGCCACCACCAGTGCTGGTCTGCTTGTGTGCACGGAGAGTTGAGGAAAAAGCTAGGCTGTTTCCCTGAGGGCTTCTGGGTCCCTGTCAGTGGGGGTGCGGGCCTTCTGACCTTGCTCCTGTGGCTTGCTTGTTGTGGGGCACTGAGCCAGTCATTCAAGAGGAGGTGCTGTTCTGAGGGGCAAGGAAGCGTGGATGTACTGTGCTGGGGCTCTGTTGAGACTGGGTTCATGAGGGAATCAACAGACTTAGGTCATGATGGCTTTAAAAGTAAATTTTCCCCCCTTCTCTTTCCAGTAAGATTCTGGAGCTATGTGCCCCAGGACTGTTCTCTTGGCACTGTTCCACGAAGTGCTCAGGGACCTCAGATCTTTCCACCATTTCAAGGTTGTGGTCTCTGTCTTCATGGTCCAATATGGCAACTGCAGGTACAGCCATTTCACCTCCATTCCAGAAGTCAGGGTGCAGGTGCAGGTAAAGAGCTGGTAAAGGATACACATCCCGTTGTCTTTTAAGAATGAGTCCTAGAAGCATCCCAGAGTACTTCCTGTCACGCCCATTGGTGAGAACTCAGTCACATGGCCCCATGTAGCTGCAAGAGACCCCTGGGAAAGGCAGCTGTGATCTTCGGTCACTGTGGGAGGAGACGGTGGACCAGGGACGGCGAGTGTAAGGGCGGCAGAAGCCAGCATGGCGTTCGGAGAACAGGCTGGAGCTGCGCAGTGGAGCTCGCGTGCAGCTGACTTTTCCACTCCTCCCAAGGCCTGGGCTATGTGGTTTTCCTGGATCCAGGCAGATAAAAGCCGCTGGTTAATGCAGGACACCATTGCTGTGAGGACAGAAAAGTGACTTTAGAGATGCCTCAGGGGAGCAGAAAATCCCTGTGGCCAGTGTTTTCTCCCAGCAGTGTCGCTCCAGGCCCCCGCGCCCCGCCCTGCCTCAGTTTCCTTTCCTGCTCCCCGGCAGCCTCACCCCCAGTCTGCACAGAGCCGTCTTCTTGCTCTGATCGCTCCTGGGGCGCGCAGTAGTGACTTCCCCTGGCCTTTCGAGACGGCCCCCAAGGGCAGAGAGGGCCCGGAAAGCACTGCCCTGTCTCCCGATTCGGGGGAGGCAGGGGTGGGAGCGCGAGCCCTGCCTGAAGCCCGTGGTCTGAGAACCGATTTCCCGCTCTTCGCCCAGCGGCCAGATTGTAATTTGCACCTGACCAATCAGAGCAACGCCTGTCTCGGGCCTTAGTGATTGGAGTAGGAGTGGGCATGTGACTTCAGCTGGGCCAATGAGAACCCACCTGGGGAAGAAGGTCTCTTCCTAGGAAACCTCAGGTGGCTGGTGCATGGGTGCTTAACTCCACAAGGCCGGAGTGGCCTTGTGGGCTAGTCACGGAGGCGCTATGCCTGAAATTCTGTCAGGCTGGAGGATGTTACTCGGGGAGGGGCCATCCAAGGCCGGCTTAGAAGGTGCCTGCAAGAGCCCGGCACAGGCTTGTAATAGCAGCAGTCAGGAGGCTGAGGCAGGAGGATTGCTGCGAATTCGAGGCCAGCCTGAGATACATAGTGAGTCTCTGTCTCCAACAGCAACAACAGCACCACCATCATCATGGAAGAAGCCATCATCCATCTACATGAGGCAGATTACGCAGGTGAGATGAAAAAATATGGTGAATGTTAAATAAAATAAGGATGACAGAAAAAGTCACTCTGCCTTTGCTCTAAGCACTCTCCCTCTCCCCCACCGTCCTGGCCGCTCCTGCAGCAGCTCTGCAGACCTCTTCCCCGAGGGTCTTCAGTTGTGCGGCCCGCAGCTGCCTCGCGGTCCTGAGTGGATTCAAAGTGTTAACCTTTCATGGTCGATTGACTGAGTTGATCCCCGCGTGCGGGATCGGAAGCTGGGCGTGGCGGCCGAGGCTGAGGCCCCACCGGGCTGTCTGCTGCTGATTGTGTCTTTGGTCCCTGCTGCAGACCCCAGCGGCCTCCGAGATGAGCTGCACCTGGGCTGCGGGCGGTGCGTGGTGCCAGCAGGCATTTAACTCGAGGGAAGGTGACGGGCGGGACCTGCCTGGCTCTCCGAGCATGGCCTCTGTGATCCTGGGGACAGGACCCACCGCTTTCTGACACGTGACTGTAAACCAGCTTCATGGCCGGGCCAGCCCAGGGTGTTAGCTGTTAGGTCAGCCTGCGCCATAGTAATTCCAAGCCAGTATCTGACAGTTGGGAGATTTAATAGAAAAGCCCGGATTTTCCAATTCTCCCAGAAGAGAAGCAGGGCAGGGAGCGCCCTGTCCGGTCTCCAGGTCACTGAGCGGGGGTTTAGTTGAACACCTCCTATGTGCCAGGCCCCACCGGAGGTGCTGGGATTACAGGGTCTGCTGTCGCGGAGTCAGGGCTCCATTGGGATCGCGTCACCCGTCCCTGTTCACGGTGTGAGCCCTGCCGGCATCACACTGCAAAGGCGGAGAAGTGCACGGCCTGTGGCCACTGCAGCCAATGACCCAGATCTTATTGTAGTGAAACGTGCATGACTTAAAGGTCTCCTCTTAACCGGCCCTAACCGTGCAGTCCGAGCGGCGTGGTTAGCAGACTTGTGTTGTTTTGCGACCACCCTGCCTCTGCCTCCCAAGACTGTAATCCAAACCCGTGAGCCCTCAGCGCCCACTCCCGCCCTGCCCAGATTTTGTTCTGCTGGGGAGTTAAGTGTGCCTGCTTTCTGCCGCTGCTGGTTTCACCTGGCGCATGGCCTCTCTCCGCCGGCACCCCAATGAGGGGCTGCGGTTTGATACCAGTTCAGTCAAGTGGGCACCAGTCCCGGCCGTGTGGCTCTAGACCTTCGAACTCCACGTATGCCTCAGCTAACCCAAGCGCTTCATCGAACACTTAGGGAAACTGAGGCACATGGCGCGTGCAGAGCCGGAACTGAACCCACAGCCTGATCTGCTGGATGTCCAGGGGGCTGTGTCATCAGGCTGTGTGCGGACATTACCTGTTGCTGGGACAGAGGGCCGAGAGACCGGAATTAAAATTGAGGTGAAGTCGGGGGTGGTGGCACACTCCTGTAATCCCGGCACCTGGGAGGCTGAGGCAGGAAGAACTATTTGAACAGCTTGAACTACTTGTCTCAAAAAAAAAAAATTGATTGAGGTGACATTGATGACAAATTAAGCACTTTAAAGAGTACCATTAGCACATTCTCAGTGTGGTGTTATTGTCACCCTTCTAGTTATATGGAGTTTTCATCCCATTTACATAAAAGGAAACTGTGTACTCATTGGGTGGCCTCTCCTGTCCCTGTCCCCCAGCCCCTGGCCACCACCAGCCTGCTTTCGGTTACTGTGGGCTGGCCGGTCCTTAATGTTTTGTATCATGTGGTCTTTTTTTTTTTTTTTTTTT